TAAGAGAATTAACAAAAAGAAAAAAGCGCTGGCTCCATGCTTACGCCACTCATGCAGGAATCATAACATGCAAAAGCAACCAGTAGCTAGTATTACGATGCTAACTGCGCACACATACTCTTAACAGCGAAGCGTCAAGGAGGAAAATATCACGTGATACCCACTTCGTTGTAATCGTTACATGTTAACTCTAACGTTTAAACATGCGAATTGATTCCACTTCGCCACTGCCTTGACCAAATCAACCCTGTCATACATCAGTTTACCACTTAGTAGCGCAGAACCATTAACTTATCTGTCTGTTAGTTTCCCAGCACACTTCTAATAGGCTCAACGATGTCGATACTCGATTCTGGTAGCCGGAAACCTTGTATCCCATAGCCACGCCAAAAATACACATTTATCACACTGAAAAAGCATGGTTTGTTATGTGTTCCTCAAGATAAGAAATACAACAACAAAAAGCAAGCAACAGAAATAAATAAGAAAGTCAATAATGACCGCAGAAGGCGGAACAATAGAATGTTTATATCTGTGATTTCCCTGATGAATTATTGACGAAGCAGTCGTAATTTTTCTGCTTCGCTATTTTGTAAATATAATACATCAATTCAATCATGGGAATTGTCCCAGCAAACATGATCTCGGAATAGATTACTGTTTTATGTAAATTTAGAATTTCTGATATTTGTTTCGTAAAATTTATACGCCATCAATAATATTATATTTATATTTAGTGTTTTTTTTTTAAATCTAATAATTATCACTTGTTTTCTTCCCGAGTCATGTTGAAATTTCTGTCCATATTTCATTGTTGTGCATTTGGGATGACGATGGTATGGACACTGTCTTCAGATGAAAAAATGAATATAGTCACGATAGAAATGAAATGTTTACGTGCTATGTATGCTAGATGTAACGAAAACAGATGGACTTACGAACGATATCAGGAGGAGAGTCGGCACCAAAACAATAATGAACTTTATAGGTGGACAAAACATCAAATATTTTGGCCATGTAACAAGACTGGTATACTTAGGAACGTTGATAACTGGAGGAGTATCGTCACCGCACCAATAATGAACTTTATAGGTAGGGAACACATCAAATAATTTGGCCATGTAACAAGACTGGCATCAGACAGGGCACCACAGATACAACGGTAACAGATCCAGAGGTCGACCATGCAGAAGATGGACCGTAGGAATATCAGAGACACTGAAAACAACTTTTATACGAAGCCAACAGAAAAACTTGTTCCGTATATCTCTTCCTGCCCTAAAGCCGCGAGGCATTCCAGGAGTAGAGGAAAGAGGAAAAAGATGATATGTCTCTCCAACTGGCGTTGGCAACCAAGCTTCGCCTGTTGACGATAGAGCTAAGAACTGACACTGCAGAACTTGGGACATTCACACAAGCGCCCCAACCTCATCTTCAGCAGCCGGCCAGGAATTTCAATTCCAACGGTGCCAGTATCAATTTCGTTTAAGTCCGTCTTGCCTTTCTTCTGAGTGTAGAGTGTCGACAAGATCCCCTCGTCACGCCTAGTTGTACCATTATCTCCAGACCACAATTATCTATTAGTGCCTCGGCATTGTTCTCTCCCTTTCAAATGACCTTAAGCATAAGTTCACCACCAATTGGTGCAGAACCAACCAACTGTCTGCCTGTTCATTTCCCAACACACCTGCATACCCCGAAGAAAATGTCCAGAGAACGCTAACTACCACCCGCCTCTGCAGTCCCCATCAAAATGCAGTAATGTATGTCACACGGTCCTATAAAATCGCCTTTACTTCCAATATATACTTTTAGGCCAGTGTAAGTTACTGATAAAACACAAGATTTCTTTCATGGAAATATCAGTTTGTAGGAAAGAAAGTAACATAACAAAAGAAATACATAACTATGTCATCTCTTGGAGAAAAGGAAGAAACCTAATCATGGAATCGGTTTCAGTCTCCACACATTGATTTACCTAAACACAAATGATTGCATCAACGAGAGTGCACAAGATGAAAACAGAAGAAACACCAAGCGGTAAGGGACGACCAAGAAGAGGATGGGTTGAATGAGACACTGATACCTTGAGAGTCCACAGTGTCACAGCATACCCGGCAACCGTGCATGCTCCAGCTTGGCTAAGAATCATCTGTTAATCTGCGACGCAGAAAGCAGAATAGGGACAGCAGACCTAGAAAGAGAGAGCGGTTTTAGATTGGTAAAAAGGGGGCGGGGGGGGGGGGGTTCCTGGAACCTGAAGATGTAAGCATCATGGCTAGTACAATTGCCATGCATGTTCAGATTTTATTGTTGCCTGAGAGAGAAAAATAAAAACAACACCCTTTACCGAGGATTGAACCCAGGTCTGTCGCAAGAAAACAACGTCAGAACCACTTGTCTAGTCACTCCTTTGCTTCTCTCGCCTCTCCACGCCACGATTAAATGCTGCCAAGAATCCTCTCGCCCTGTCGTCCCCTGCCTCTGGTACCAGAAATCCTGTCAGTTGTCACAACAGATTGTAACGTCACTATCGAAAGTCGCGGCGGAGAACAAGTCGTTGCATTGTATTTTAAACTTATGGCGACACTACAGCTATCAAACTGAGGTTTTGAACAACGGATCAACATCATGGCACAGGGGTGTAACCCTTTATCATGGTATAAGGCGTCGCAGGTCGACATAGCCTAAAATGGGTACCAGGATGGCTGTCCTGGGAAAGTAAAGACGTCTGACGTAATGCTGACTACATTACCCACCTAGTGCGGATTGGTCTGTAAAATTATGGAATTCTCTTCCCATATGCCCGATGCGCCTAAGGCGTGAAAAAGGATCTTAACTAAGGAAGTCACCATGGCGCAGCGGTTAGACGCTCGCGTGCGGATCGGAAGGTCGTGGTCTCGCTCCCTGGCGGAGTTGCCCTTTTTTTTAAAAATGACCTTGACTCCCAGGTCGACCTAGCTTTGAGTGGGTACCTGGTGCAGTCCCAGGAAGAAAATGCGGCCGGCGTAATGTTGACTCCTTCACCCATCTTGTGCAGATTGGTCTATACAAATATAGGTCCAGCCCTATACACCTATGGTGTGGAAAAGCGAACTGTACTTTACTTACTTTACTATGATCCCTTAGCAGCCCACATGGTCTCTTAGCAGGCTACATGATCTAAAACAGTCCATGCTGTTCTTAAATCGTAACATGGTCAAATACAAAATGGGTTACCACACAAGACATCACCCACACGTCCTTCTAATGGGCTCGCGCCTGGATAAGCCGAGTGCCTTTGAATGCATTATCTTCTTTAATCCTGAGTCCCGGCCTGAGAGCTTCATTTATAATTCAAACTGTATTACAGTGATTCCCAAACTGTGCACCCCGCGGAGCCACGACCTCTTCATAGGGGCGCCGCGAAATATTCGAAGATAAACGATTTAAAAAAATCGTTTACATACGAATAGTCATACTTTCATTTAGGTTAGGTCGCCGTGGAAAAATGTTTATTGAACAAACAAAAAGCGCCGCGACTAAGAAAAGTTTGCAAAACACTGCTGTAATATATTCACTTTCCTTTCCATTTTGCTGATAGATTTCTGTCGCTGATCTCACAACTTTTGTTTCACTCTCGCTTTCGATGGTTTTATTTGAGACTAGCTTAGCTGTTGACTCTTTTAATACCAGAAGACGGGTTCAAAGGAAATGCCAATGAAGACATATCCATGAGTAAATCCCCTCAATGTATTACTTTCTAAACACTAATAAAAAAGTGACTGTTGGACACGCCAGATTTCTTGAGTGTGTTCCGACCAAAGACGAAAAGTAAGAGAACATATGTAGCTATTTGTAGGATTCAGCAGATAGAATGATTCAAATGTCAGGGGGCGTTGGGGACTTAAAGAGCTAAGAACAATGTGCTCTTATTCAAAGTACCCGGGTTCGAATCCTTGATAAGAAGATGGATTAATCTCTGTCAGGGGCAACAACAACAACCCAACAACAACAACAAAAACAACAACAAAATAAATATGCACAGTTCATGGCAACTACATTAGCCACAAAGACCTGAATCACCGCCATACACCGCCCTAAAACGAGGTAAGTACCAGCAGTAGATGCCGTTAAGAACTAAATAATTAGATTCTACATTGATGGTTTGTCTTCTTCTCTTCTTCTTCTTGTTCACCGGTTGCAAACTCTGATGGGAATTCTTGGTTGTTCACCCACTTCTGGACTTAAGTCTTGTCCCAGAATTTGAATTGTGCTTGCACATCCGTTCGCAGATCTGGCTTTTTTGTATGCAGACTGTTGGTTACTCGCCTCTCAGACGGATGCACTCCAGGAGAAGTTATGGGAAGTGAAAGTGGCCGGCGTAATGTTGACCACATCACACATTGAATGTTGACCTTCTGTAAAATATAGGTCTAGCCCTATGTGCTAAATACGACTGAAGGCTTTAAAAAGGTTCCTTTAAAGCAGTAAAAAAAAAGTAAAGATCCCTTTTCACGCCTTTCGGCGCATCGGGCATATGGGCAGAGCGTCCCATATTTTTACAGACTATCAGCACTCTGTGGGTAATGTGGTCAGCATTACGCCGGCTGTCTTTACTTTCCCAGGACAGCCCATCCTGGTACCCATTTTAGGCTGGGTCGACCTGCGACGTCCCATACCACGATAAAAATCCACGCAGCCTGCAGTGGGTTTCCATCGCGTTATGCTGGCTTACGAGTCGGACCTCGCAACGCCTTAGCCACGGACGCAGTAGACACAGTTAAAAACGAAAAAATCAATTTCTGCATTAATACTTTCCTACCGAAGGTGTCACTTATATCCTGTGCCCATCTTCTTGCTGGTCGGCCCCTGCCCTTTTTCCTTTCTGGTACTATGCCTTCTGTTACTGTTTTCCCCAGTCCGATGTAGCACTCTTCTACGATAAGTTAATGTAAGTTCATACAATTCTGTAACTCCTACCACCCCCCCCCCTTTACCTCCACCCCTAACTGTCAAAGGAGGGGATGAACCTCCGCCACCAAGGAAGGTCCGACTGGGATCTTTCATGCCGACGGGATCCAGAGCGAGCGACGCCTTCGATGAAAACCACGACCACTTGGTTGGCGTGTGGCATTGCAAGTTCAGGACACCCAAGTTCATCAAAAGGCTGTCATTTCCAGAAACAATGGAACCCCATAGTAAGAGTTACCATTCTTACAACTTCATGTTTTTTGTTTTTTTTTCATGTGTATTCCCTCTTTTTTTCTCCTTCCCTCATGGCTTAGCATTCTTCTTATTCTTCTGCTGCTGTTTCTATTTCTTAAATCTTCATTGAAAGTGCATACATATTTTTATGAGCATCCCCTCTTCTTTTCCTCCGTCCCCCATGTCTTCTTCTTCTTTTTCTGCTGCTGCTGCTTCTTCTTCTACTTCTTCTTCTTTTTCTTCTTCTTCTTCTTCTTCTTCTTCTTCTTCTTCTTCTTCTTCTTCTTCTTCTTCTTCTTCTTCTTCTTCTTCTTCTTCTTCTTCTTCTTCTTCTTCTTCTTCTTCTTCTTCTTCTTCTTCTTCTTCTTCTTCTTCTTCTTCTTCTTCTTCTTCTTCTTCTTCTTCTTCTTCTTCTTTTGCTCCTTATTCTTCATTTTCTTCTCCCTCTTCTTGTCCTTCTTCGCCAACCTGTTCTTCTTTTCTTCCTCATTCATCACTATCAACATAATCATCGCCAATGTCGTTTTCTTCTCCTCCTCTTCGTTGTTGTTGTTGTTGTGGTTGTTGTTGTGGTTGTGATTGTTGTGGTTGTGGTTGTTGTTGTGGTTGTTGTTGTAGTCAAGCGCTAAATAGCACAAAACAAGTATCTGAAGAAGAAAAATACTGACATTCTGTATGAACATAAGAAGAAGAAGAAGAAGAAGAAATGATGTTCTGCAAGATCTGAACATGAAGATTGACATTCTGCAAGGAGTTAACATAAAATTATACTCGCATTCTACAAGATATGAACATTTAAAAAATGCTGACAAACTACAACAGCTGAATAGGAAAAATACGGATTTTCTACTAAATCTGACAATGGCATAAAAATGTCGACTTTGCGGAAGATATGAGCATGTCATAAGATCTTAGCATTGAAAACAATTGGTTTATAAACATTATCTTGACCCAGGGAATGAAAAACTGTGTCTTGTGGATACTTTTCATTTTTTTTGTTTTTGTTGTTGTTGTTGTTGTAATTTTAAAGTCCTGGTCCTATTTAAGTTTTGATCTCTCTGATTATTGTTGCCCTAGAGAGAGAGAGAGAGAGAGAGAGAGAGAGAGAGAGAGAGAGAGAGAGAGAGAGAGAGAGAGAGAACGAAAGAAAGAGAGAGAGATGGACAGAGAGAAAAAAAAGAGAGAGAGATGGACAGAGAGAAAAAAAAGAGAGAAAAGAAGATCAGTCACATCCATACACACAGAGTGAGGAGAGAGAGAGAGAGAGAGAGAGAGAGAGAGAGAGAGAGAGAGAGAGAGAGAGAGAGAGAGAGAGGGAGGGAGGGAGATGGGGATTCCAGCACTTGACCAAGGGTTTCTCCATGTGGGCTCTAGAAAAGTGCAGATATCGCAGCCGTACTGTAAACTACAAAACAACGTGCCAACTGATTTTCAAGGCCTAATGCACAAGAAGATCACTGGTAGCCAGTCAGATGTAAATCACAAATATAATTGTTACACATCCTATTCTGTTATTGCATCCCATAATTATAGTATTATAATTATATATTATAATTGCATCTGAACTGTTATTTTCGGTACTTAATTTATAACTTACGAATGACGTCACGACAACGACACGGGAGACATTCCCAATAAATTCTAGGGTGTTCAGGTTGTAGTTTCTCGCGATTTATCTACACCCAAGGTTAGGGTTAGGGTTAGGGTTGGGGATAGGGTTAGGGTTATGATTAGAAGACACTATATGAACACTCAAAAATTAAAAAAAAATTTAAAAAAAAAACCCATAACAGCACACTTCCACCCCTGTAAATAATGGACTGTAAGGTCAGCTTTGGATTTCCAACGGGGATTTCGTGTTTGGGGTACGTTATAAATTAAGAACCTTTTTTTTTCACCCAATGCTTTCATGCATTTCTAACCATCTTATTACTATTATTCGCCCCCATGCAGGATGCAATTTTTCCTTATTTGAAGCCCCACCCTGGCTTTTGCTGAGGGCCCTGAATTAAGCCGGGCCATAAATATGGCCATAACGGCTAAAAAGAGTTTCTGGGACCTCTCCACAGGTGATCCTCATCCGCATGGTGGCACTCTGTGTCACCAGAGGTTTATCGCTTTGTGTGATGTCCTGGTGGGGTACAACTTACATACATGCTAACCATCTGTATCAGAATCTAATACCTTTTCTCTTAACCAACCAATTCAGACAAAATATATGTGACCTGGCTATTTTTGGTAAGTTTGGCATTCCTGTATAACGCCGTGGTGATTCCCCTGCGTGGGGTTTTCCCATATCAGACGTCCGAGAACCTCCGCTATTGGCTAATTATGGACTACCTCTGTGACGTCATCTACATACTGGACATGATCATCTTCAAGTGCCGCCTGCGCTTTACCAACGATGGCATCATTGAGGTATGTATACGTTGTTTCGTGTTGTTTACAATGTTGTTGTCAATGCACCTGTTAGTTAGTTGCGTATTTTTTACAGGACGTTGCAGAACTAACCCCGTTATTTTTTTTTTTTTTTTGCTTGTTGTGGCTTTTCTATCCAAATTTTACGTTCAGTAGTTTGTCATTGCTTTCTAAACGGTCAGCTCTCGGTACGACCATCTAAACCAACGCAAGACAAATCGTCCCAGCCGGGATCGAACGCGTCACCCCCGCATTACGAAGTGCGTCCGCAGTGCCTAAGCCACAGACGCCGTGATGAGTTAAAATGAGTGCAGGCGCCCCAAAGAAAGGAGCTCTTTACATTCACCGGAAAGTCCAATATTCTAGGGGTGTTTTTGGTTGGGGTTAGGGTTAGGATCTTTGTCAGCCCTGACCGCCTCACAGACACTGACAAACATCAAACAGTAACTTTAACCCCAACCTATAACAAACACCCTTACGGTATTTGACTTCCCAGAGAACGCCTTTGTTCAGGGTGAATTAAAATAAAGTACCAAGTTAAGACTCGACAACATAGCACTACTCGGCACATTCCCGTCCCCATCGTCAGCAGCAAGCACAGAGTTCCAATTGCGATGACTGCAGTAAAAATTTATAGGTTTAAACAATGGATCAACATCATGGCACACGGGCGTAACCCATGGGTGCTCCGTTCTACTTCTAACTCAAGCCAAGTCAGAAGAATCTCAGCGCAGTACACGAATTCCGTAGTACCGGCGAGGATCCTGAAATACTTTGGGTAGATTTTTAACTTAAAATTTTGCCCGGGCAGCCCTGTTAGGCTACTCTCTTTCGATTTCCAACTGCCAAGGGATTTCCTACGTGCGCAACAGTACACACGGGCGTCCGATCTTACTACCCAGAGACCAGGATAAATTATTAGAAGTCCATGTGAAAAAATCCCAGCAATCATCCATGCCTCGAGACCACGCAGCCCGCCGGAACAGTGTGATTGTCCGACCGTCGAGTTCATCCCTTGAGTGTTGTGCGTCCACAGATCTGCTGATAACTCTTTTTAAATATCCAGAGATCACGAGTTGTTAACCCGTTGGCTCGGTACTATAGATATCGCAACCCTTCGGCTTTGATTCCATGATAGATACCGTAAATCTGGGCGAAATGTGGCTTTTCTGCCTACCTCCGGGCGTGAACCAGGACCACAAGGAGTTCGTCAACCGGTCGCCGCAAAGTCAGGTTTAACCAACTACGCTAGCGTGCCGGGCAATGATCACTCCTCAGTGCACCATTCTCTTCAGACACTGCTTAATGCATCTGAAATTTGTCCTCCTACGCCTCCTTCTTCCTTTTCTTCTATTTCTTTTTTTCTTCATTTAGAGGAGGAGGAGAAGAAGAAGTAGAAGAAAAAAAAAGAAGAAGAAGGAGGAGGAGTAGGAGGAGGAGAAGAAAAAGGAGGAGGAGATAAAGAAGACGAAGAAGAAGAGAAGAAGAAGAAGAAGAAGAAGAAGAAGAAGAAGAAGAAGAAGAAGAAGAAGAAGAAGAAGAAGAAGAAGAAGAAGAAAGAAGAAGAAGAAAGAAGAAGAAGCAGAAGAAGGAAGAGAAGTATAATTATTGTTGTAATTTTTGTTTTGTCTGTCCATAAAGTGTTCAACCTTGTGGTTAAATGTTTTTGTTCACAGAGCGACCCCAAGGCAGCCAGAAAACACTACATGAGAAAGTGGATGTTCAAGGTATGAAAGCAATATGATCTTGTCACAGAATCATCTGCACATTTTTCTTTAAAAATAACAAGCGCACTCAGGGAAAAAAACCCAGCTGTTTTTACTGTTTCAAGCTAAGATGTTGTTTCTGTCATCACTTCCTTTCCTACAGTCTGATTACTATACAGTGTGATTGAAAAGTAACTCTTCAAATACTAATATTTTAATTATTAACTGTAATATTTGTTAAGCAACATTGTGTTTTCTGTGGCAAACGTGAGTAGTAAACACAGAGGAAATCCATATTTTTTCCTTATATAACCTTTGCTAATCGTGACTCAGTTGGAAGAAAAAACTATATAAATGTTATCACCTAACAATAGGTGTTTCGCCCTTTTAAGGACGAATTTTTTTGTTATTTGAAGCCCCACCCTGTTTTTTGCCAGGGGCTGCAATATAGGCAGGCCATAAATATGGCCAATTGTCTGAACGCGGTTTCTGGGACCTCTCCACGGCGATCCTCATCCACATAGTGGCACTTTGTGTCATCGGGTGTTTATCGCTTGTGTGATGTCCTAGTGGGGTAAAAAGTCAGTCAGTCAGTCAAGAAAAAACTGTGGATTAATATAAAGATATAAGATAAAACGATTTACTCCTACCGAGCGAAAGGCAGCCTCCTGATTTGACTTCTTTGGTATTTTTGGCCAGAGGTGGTTTGAGGTCACCTGGTGGCTCGGTTGAGGCTTTGGACACGTGACACAGGATCGGTAGTCAGATTTACTACTTATGTGGACATTAACAAACAAACAAACAAAATATTTAAAACATAAAATTAGGAAAAATAAAGGGCTGAAGGAAAATTGAAGCAACAGAAATGAAATGTCTACAGTAGATCACAAATGTAACAGGAAGAGACAGGATCAGAAACAACGATTTCAGGAAAGGAGTTGGCACAGAACGGGTAATAATCTACGTCAAGAAACAACAAATCAAATGGTTTGGTCATGTGTCAAGACTACCACCAGACAGGGCACCACAGGGAGCCCTGTCACTTAGACATAAAGGAAACAGAAAGAGAGGTCAGCCATGAAAACGATGGATCGATGGAAAACCCAATGCCATAAATGCCAACATCTACATAGCACATACCATGGCACACTCAATGCCTCTTCAAAACCTGACACTGAAAGGCATTACAGGACTAGAGGAGGAGAAGGAGGAGGAGAAGAAACAGAAGAAGAAGAAGAAAATTTTTCAAGGGATGTGAATGTGGGAAGAAAGAGTTTAGCATGAGGTTCTATGTGGGTACCATATTTTGATATCAGCGTCAACTGATATTACCAGGAGCTGATTTGGAATGGAAGATGTAACTTCTCTTATTCACCACCCCAAACACGAAATCCCCGTGGGAAATCCACAGCTGACCTGACAGTCCATTATTTCAAGGGGTGCAAGTGTGCTGTTGTGTGGTGCTTTTTTTTGGAGTGTTCATCTAGTGTCTTCTAATCCTAACACTAACCCTAACCCTAAACCAAACCCTAACCCTAAACTAGGATGTAGAGAAATCGCGAGAAACTACAACATGAAAACCCTAGAATTTATTGGGAATGTCTCCCGTGACGTTGGCGTGACGTCAGGGGTAAGTTATAAATTAAGTACCTCACCCTTCAAGTTGTTCCGAAACAAAATAATCAATTTAGAGCAGATCCAAATAGATCAGGTTTAGGTTAATACAACGAATCAACACCATGGCACAAGGGTATAACTCATAAGTGCTCTGTTCTACTTCTAACTCAAGTCTTAAGTCCGAAGAATCTCAGCGCAGTGCACGAGCTCAGTATTACCGGCGAGGATCCTGAAATACTTTCGGTAGTGCGGTTAGTCTACTCTTTTCGATTTTTACCTCCAGCACTCTATGTGAATGCCATGCCTGGAGACCACTCAGCTTCTCGACAAATATATTACAGTTACAGATTATGTTCTCATACATTAAAGGTTAAAAAACAAAACCAAAAAAACTTGAGACAAAATTTATCATGAATAAATAATTTAAAAGCATTTTGAAATGGGGAGTTATTTTCAGTTATCCTGTAGTTAAACTTATGGTCCGTGGGCAGAATCTGGCCTGCAGAGGAAAGTGCTTGCGAATCATTGCTAGTTGTAGCGTTTTAGTAAGATGAAGTGGAGGCATTCACTGCTGCCTTCTGCTGGACTGAGAATCTGCTGTACACACTTGTTGTAACTGTAACAGACCCACAGAGTATGTTGAGACAAGCTGAGATAGGCATGCTACATGCAGAGTGGCAAGCATCGCTTTAGAGGTCCCAGGTAGTTAGCATCTTTTCGATATTTTCTCATACTGGTGTGTTGGGAAATGAGCAGGCAGATAGACTGGCCGGTTCTGCACCACTTGATGTATGACAAAGTGGATATTGTGGGAGTGAGTGAACAGTGTGTAGGCTCAAATAGATCATTACAGTCTGAGGAGAAGGGCACTGCTGTGGGATCCCTGGGGATCTGGCCGACTCTCAACACTCAAGGGAAGGGTGAGACGGATGTACAGTTACTGGTACCATCAGAATTAGAACTCTTCCTTTGCTGCTGAAGATGAGGACGGAGCACATATGGGAGCGTCTTGAGTGCTGTGATGTCAATTCTTAATTCAACATTTGAAATAGAGTTATGTTTCAGTTTTTCTGTCGAGCAAGGCTGTTCAGCTTGTGGCTCGCGGGTCAAATGCGGCCTGCAGAGGTATATCAGGTGGCCCACGAATCATTGTCAATTGTAGTGTATTTGTGGTCTCTCTCCACTTAAAACGTCTAGTTTGAGAATGGAGGTGGAGGCAGTCAAGTGTTGTGATGTGTCGATTCTTAATTCAACATTCAACATTCCACACTGGAGCTCTGGACTCTAGCCTATGATGATCCACGTTTTTTCAACATTTTGTATAGACTTGGGTGAATAGACATGCTGTAGAGCAACAACCTATGAGCCTTGTTGAGTTGAAATAATAAATAATGGGACAATGTGAGTTAAAGTGACAGTTGGGATACCATGGAACTTAATAATGGGACAGAAGCCAAGAAGAAGTGTATGATGAATTGTCCAGTGTAGTAAGAGCTAGGAGGTTCTTAAAAATATTCCAAGAAGTAAAGGCACATGGTGTCATAGTGACCCTATTACCTCTAAAGTGTAGACTAGTGGGTGCTTTCATTTGAGCTCACCCCCAACAAGGAGAAACCCCAGAATTGCCTAGGAAGTCCAATATTATATGGGTGTTACGGTTTAAAATAAACACTGACTAACCCTTATGTTAATCCTAACCATGTAATATTGTATTGTATAATTTAATGTATTATTATTGTATTTATCTTACCCCATGTTTGGAGTAAGCTAAAAAGAAAGTACCGATTAGTCTTTTAAAATAGTAGTAGTAGATTTTTACCCCACTAGAACATAAAACAAGCGATAAACACCCGATAACACAAAGTGCCACCATGCGGTTGAGGATCACCTTGGAGAGGTCCCAGAAACCACGTTCAGCCATTAGACCATATTTATGGTCGGGCTATATTGCGGCCCCTGGCAAGAGCCAGAGTAGGGCTTTAAATAACCACAAATTGCATCTCACAAGGAGATGACTGGATTATACTCTTTTAAAATAGATGTCTAGCACTATATACCCAGTACTCATCAAGGCAAAGAAAGGACAACAGCAACAGCAACAACAACAACAACAAAAAGATCATGAAATGATAACAGACCAAATCTTTTTCTTTCGTTCGCTTGAAATAATTTATCGATAACTGCAATGTTGTTTCGTGTATGAACTTTACTGTTTTTTTTAATTTAGTCAGCGGCCTGTAAAGTTTGGCTTCCACCAGTGTGTCTCTTGGCCAGAGGTTTTGCCTTGAAATTAAAAACTGAACCAGTCAGCTTCACATTATCACAAACACAAACGGCACGTGAGCGTTGCGGCTAGAAAACCTTCATCAGCACATTACATAAATATACGATATCACAGAAATAAACAGGAATACACAAATTCATCTAACTGACGACGTATCTACAAGAGAAATCACATTCCTGACTGGCCAGTTGAATTTCTGACATGTGTATATCCACAGGAAATAAACACTAGCCAGAAAAAGCCATTCCTTAAAAAAGGTGGGTAAAGCTTTAAGGTGCTGCTTGAGCCTCCAGGTTCTGTAGCCTGTGATTGGAGCATCCACAATGGCTACAAAGTCTGATCAAGACGGGCCATGCTGCTGACGTCACCAAACCGGGCTAACGATAAGTTAACGTAGCGTTTCTCAAACTTGTTTCGTCGGGCAGAACAAAACTTGAGTGCCACACCTACCCTTAAAACGATTTGAATACTTGATAGAAAAAGACAAAAATGCAAAACTCTATGTCAACCAGCTTTGGAAAAATTCTTGATTATTGCCGCGGCACCCCTGATACACGCTTGCAGCAACCAGTTTAAGAATTGCTGCGTTAACGTAGCCGGTCTTGGCCTGATGTCGCCTGCAGTTCCTGTACATGTAAAGGTATTAACATTTGGTATTGTGACTTCATTTTTTGGCTTTCTAAGCTCAACAGTCTAATGATATCACACTTGATGGTCTTCTTCAGTTTGATGTCCTGTCGCTGGTCCCGCTAGATTTCTTTTACTTCATCAAAAGTGTTGGAGTCAACCCATGGTTGCGATTACCCCGTGTACTCAAGGTAAACTAGTTATATTTCTAGTTGTTCTTTTTTTTTCTCATCTTCCTCCTCTCTCTCTCACTGCTGCTGCTGCTACTACTACTAATAATGCTACTACTGCTGCTGTTGCTACTGCTACTGTTGCTGCTGCTACTAATACTGCTACTATTGTTACTAATACTGCTTCTGCTACTACTACTGCTAATATTATTGCTGCTGCTCCTCCTCTTAATCTTTGTCTTCTTCTTCTTCTTCTTCTTCTTCTTCTTCTTCTTCTTCTTCTTCTTCTTCTTCTTCTTCTTCTTCTTCTTCTTCTTCTTCTTCTTCTTCTTCTTCTTCTTCTTCTTCTTCTTCTTCTTCTTCTTCTTCTTCTTCTTCTTCTTCTTCTTCTTCTTCTTCTTCTTCTGCATCTTCACTTTCTCTTTTTCTTCATCTTCTTCTCCTTCTACTGCTGCTTCTCCTCTGCTTCCGTCTCTGCCTCCACATCCCGCTCCTTTTCTTCTTTTTCTTCCTCCTCCCCCAGGCACCTCAAAGATCTGTTCAACCTCACCTCGATGATTGTCTGCATGCTCTCTCTCATGGACATCATAAATTGATCCTTATTTCTCCAGTGCTGTTCTTGATGCTATTGTTCCTTAATTTGTTTGGTCTTCCCCTTGCTATGTTTTAATTGTATTTCTTTGGCACAGCTTTTTTTGGCAGTTGGTACCAGGGTATTCTCGTTATGTGGCCATACCATTTGGTCCCTTGCTCTTTAACTCCATCAGTCCCAAGGAACGCATGATATGTTCATAGATTCCTACCTAGAAACCCAATGAATATAAGATGTTACATCTTTCTTTACTATCTCTTGGGCTTCTGATGCTAAACGCCTTGGGACTGGAAGAGTTAATAAACTGTATCACTGTCTCCATGCCTAGTCTTCGTCAGATGTCTTCATTTTATATGTTATTTCTTCTTATAAGTCTATCAGCTCCTCTTAGACATCTCATCTCTGTTTTAAGGAGCGATCAGTGCAGGGGATTACATTAATTTATTTTGCTTCTCGTAAGATACAAATGGAAAATTTATTGAAGAGACATTAGAATTAGAGGAGTTCTTCAAGCGGGCATCTCTATCTTGGCTATGCCTCAGCAGTTATGAATCTACTTTTTTCTGCCATCAAAAACCCTGATGAAGATTATGCCATCTACATAATCATATTGTTTCCCAATGTATCTTTTCGTGAATATCACTTTCTCTGTCTGTCTGTCTGCTTTCTCTACAAGTCTGCCTGTCTGTCTGTTTGCTTTCTCTACCATTCTGTCTGTCTGTCTGTCTGTCTGTCTGTCTGTCTGTCTGTCTGTCTGTCTGTCTGTCTGTCTGTCTGTCTGTCTGTCTGTCTGTCTGTCTGTCTGTCTGTCTGTCTGTCTGTCTGTCTGTCTGTCTGTCTGTCTGTCTGTCTGTCTGTCTGTCTGTCTGTCTGTCTGTCTGTCTGTCTGTCTGTCTGTCTGTCTGTCTGTCTGTCTGTCTGTCTGTCTGTCTGTCTGTCTGTCTGTCTGTCTGTCTGTCTGTCTGTCTGTCTGTCTGTCTGTCTGTCTGTCTGTCTGTCTCTGTCTGTCTGTCTGTCTGTCTATCTGCTTTCTCTACCACTCTGCCTGTCTGTATGTCTGTCTGCTTTCTCTACCACTCTGCCTGTCTGTATGTCTGTCTGTTGCTTTCTCTGCCACTTTTACTTTATAGAGATCTCTCTGTCACTCTTATTGTTATCACTATCTTTCTGTTGTTCTCTCTGTCGTACTTGTTCTAACTCATCCTCCTTTCAACTTTGTTGCATTCCAACATGCAGCCTTTATAACATCCATGCCTCAAAACTAAACAAAAAAGCCTCCAACATCCAGGGCCTCCCAACATACAATCCTCCCAATATCCAGCCCTCTCAACATCCACCCATCCCAACATCCACCCATCCCAACATCCACCCATCCCAACATCCACCCATCCCAACATCCACCCATCCCAACATCCACCCATCCCAACATCCACCCATCCCAACATCCTCCTATCTGACGTCCACCCATCCCAACATCCTCCTATCCCAACATTTAGAGCTGTCAAAATCCAGAAATAAATCAATGTTTGCAATCATCTCCAAGTAAATGGTCCAGATTCAGAATAGGAAGATAATTCAACATTAGTACGACTCTGATAAATGCAAATCTTTTTTCAGGACTTAACAAACCTCAGCATCAATGCACAACATTTCAACACTCATTCTGTCTTCACTTCTTTCCCTTGTACCTTCTTTGTTTTTCTTTCTTCTTTTCTCTACTCCTAGAATGTCTGGCGGTGCCAGGGCAGGAAGAGATCTCTGGAACGGGCCCTTCTGTTCGCTCCGTATAAAGCACTTTTCAGTGTCTCTGATATTTCTGCGGTTCATATTCTGCGTGGTCAGCCTCTGGATCTGTTACCGTTGTATAACACTGCTCTCTGTGGTGCCAATCTTGTAACATGGCCAAACCCTATGATGTGTTGTCTACCTATCAAGTTCAGTATTCTCTCTGTGTCGACTCTCCTCTGATATCATCGATCCTAAGTCTATCTTTCCTCGTTACACCAAGCATGATACATAATCAACTGTGAGTGCTAATTAATAGAAGTCAGTTTGTTTATCAGTCTGTTTCAACTAGGGCTGTACCGAATATTCGTTTCGGGGCCGAAGAGTGGACCAAATGACTATTCGGTATTCGGCCGAATAGTTGCGGTCGGGCCGAATACGAATAGTTGTTACCTTACATTCATTTCTGCATACACTGCGATGGACTGAAATAATTCTCCCATTAACACAATAGTTTATGTTGCCTAAGTTTGTAGTAGCGGGAAAACTGCGACCCGGTTGCGTCTTGCCTGCTGACTCGACCGAGGCATTACAGCAAAGATTTTCAAACTGGCTGCATATGCCAGGGGTGCCGGGGCTAAAATCAAGAAAAGTCGGCTATAAATTGTAACATTATTAAAGAAGACATAAAGATACTTGAGATACTTTTCTCACTACTGTCGAAAAGAGCACAGGCGACAGGCAATACCTGCATTTTATCAAACGAAGAACATCTTATGCAATACATCTTTGCCATTGAAGGTTAGAAAAATAATTCTTGCTTACTACAATTTTTCTCTTATTTTTCCAGTTTTAACATGTGGTTGTAAGTCCTGGACAATCCGTAGGAAGGCCAAACAATTTCTCTGGGCTTCAGAGATGTAGTTTTACAGAACAATGCTTAAAATACCTTGAACAGCCAAAAAAAAAAAAAAAAAAAAAAGCAACCAAGAGGTTTTGAAAGAGGCGGGAGCCCGAAAACAACTAATCACAGACATCAGAAGGAGACAGTCATAATTTTTGGGCCATGTTATGAGAAGAGGGAAAATGGAACATGTGGTGACCACTAGAAAGATCTGTGGAAGGAGGGATAGAGGAAGACAACGAGAGAACATTCTTGACAGTTTTGTTGCATGGCATGGAGGTGTGTCAGCACACGAACTAATACATGCTGCAGCAGATCGCAGATTATGGCGAGGCATAATCGCCCACGTCGGTCGGCAAGGCACCTGATGATGATGATACACTATTCGTATTCTGCCGAATAGTTGGTCCCACTATTCGTATTCGGCCGAATAGTGAAAATCACTATTCGGTACAGCCCTAGTTTCAACCAATGTGTTTCAATCAGTGTGTTTCAATCAGTGTGTTTCAATCAGTGTGTTTCAATCAGTTTGTTTCAATCAGTGTGTTTCAATCAGTGTGTTTCAATCAGTGTGTTTCAATCAGTCTGTTTCAATCAGTGTGTTTCAATCAGTGTGTTTCAATCAGTGTGTTTCAATCAGTTTGTTTCAATCAGTGTGTTTCAATCAGTCTGTTTCAATCAGTGTGTTTTATTCAGTCTGTTTCAATCAGTGTGTTTCAATCAGTGTGTTTCAATCAGTCTGTTTCAGTTAGTCTGTTTCAATCAGTGTGTTTTAATCAGTGTGTTTCAGTCAGTCTATTTCAATCAGTCTGTTTCAATCAGTCTGTTTCAATCAGTCTGTTTCAATCAGTGTGTTTTAATCAGTATGTTTTAATCAGTCAATCAGTGTGTTTCAATCAGTCTGTTTCAATCAGTGTGTTTCAATCAGTGTGTTTCGATCAGTCTGTTTCAATCAGTGTGTTTCAATCAGTCTGTTTCAGTTAGTCTGTTTCAATAAGTGTGTTTCAATCAGTGTGTTTCAATCAGTCTGTTTCAATCAGTCTGTTTCAATCAGTGTGTTTCAATAAGTCTGTTTCGATCAGTCTGTTTTAATCAGTCTGTTTTAATCAGTCTGTTTTAATCAATCTGTTTCAATCAGTCTGTTTCAGTTAGTCTGTTTCAATCAGTGTGTTTCAATCAGTCTGTTTCAGTTAGTCTATTTTAATCAGTCTGTTTTAATCAGTCTGTTTTAATCAATCTGTTTCAATCAGTCTGTTTCAATCAGTCTGTTTTAATCAATCTGTTTCAATCAGTCTGTTTCAGTTAGTCTGTTTCAATCAGTGTGTTTCAATCAGTCTGTTTCGATCAGTCTTTTTCAATCAGTCTGTTTCAATCAGTCTGTTTTAATCAATCTGTTTCAATCAGTCTGTTTCAATCAGTCTGTTTCGATCAATCTGCTTCTTCTTGTTTTACGTTCACCGTCTGTAAACTCTGGTGGACAGTTCTCATTGTTTATCTGTTCCTGGACTTTGGTCTTGTTCCAGAACTTGAGCTTTGTGTGCACATCCATTTGACAGCTCTGGCTTATCTGTTTGCAGACTGTTGGTTCCTAACCTCTCAGGCAGATGCACTTTGGTTCAGAAAGAAACATCCCTAATTTGTTAACTTTTGTGACATGCTTGCTAGGAGGTAGTAGGTCTATTTCACAAACCCCAAAAATGGGGCCCCAGACCACACACAGGGACAATGGGCCCCTAGACCCACATGAGGAGTTAATGAGGCTTAAGAACCCACATGGAGAGTTTATAGGACCCCAAAACCCACACGGGGACTTAAAGAGGCCCCAGAAACCACATTGGGAGTTAATGGGGCCCCAGACCCACATGAGGAGTTAATGAGGTCCCAGAACCCACACGGGGTTTAATGGGGCCCCAGAAAGCAAATTGGTTGCTGATGATGATTCTTCTTCTTCTACTTTGACAATTGTTTTTTTTCAAAGTATCCAGAAACTCTGAGTGGTGAACCCTTTGGCTCGGTACTATGGATATCGCAACCCTTCGGCCTTGATTCCATTATAAGTACCATAAATCTAGGAGAAAGGTGTCTTTTCTGCCAACTCCTGGGCGTGAACCCTAGACCACAAGGAGTTCGTCACCCGGTCGCCGCAAAGTCAGCTTTAACCAACTATGCCCATTAAAAATGTGTTTGGCATGTTGTATTGTGGTTTACAGCTGGGATGTAATATCAGGATCCTTTTGGTCCAAAACATCTGATTTCAACAAACCCCAAATTAGTTGCCTTTTATGGCATGCTTGTTTAGTGTTGGAGGGGGAGAGGGGGAGGGGTGGAAGCAGAGGGTCCTTCTTATGGTTCCCAAAATTGAGCCCTTGAAACCCACATAGAGAATGATGATGATGATGACGATGATGATGACGATGGCGATGATGATGACGATGATGATGATTTTGAAAAGAACACATCACATCCATACTCAAAGTACACGCCACAGAGTTAACTATATGCTGTCAAAATCTACAGATCCAGACTTATTGGGAGTTCTATGAACGATGTGATCAGGCATCCAAATCATCTGCTCATGCAATCAGGTTGGTAGCTTTGTCTGTCACTCTCTAGCTATTTTAATATGTAGTGAATACATATTTTTCCTTTCCTTCTTCTTCTTCTTAGCTGTAAATTTTAATGGAAAGTTCTGGTTGCTTGCCCACTTCTGGACTTCAGTCTTGTTCCTAAACTTGAGTTTTAAGTGCATATCCGTTTTACAGAGCTCTCTTACTTGTATGCAGACTGTTGGTTCTTCGCCTCCCGAATTATACACTGGAAAAGTCAATGGACAAGACAACAGATCTTCTATAAAAACCAAGGTCACCTTGAAACCAAGAAATATGTAATATGTGGAAAATATGGATGTGCAGGGCTATATTACGAAACAATCCAAGTTAGAAGATGTATGAAAAATGCACTTGTCGTCATCAGCTCAGCTGAAGTCATCCCCTATTTACATTATTGTTTGGTCATGTCATGAAAAGGAGAAAACTGGAGTACATTGTGGTGGTGGTAAAGTTGGAGAGGAAAAGAGGCAGGCAGAGACCAAGAGTGTAATTGCTAGAAAGTTTGATAACATAGCATGGAAGATCATCGGTGTCAGAATTCATTGAAAATACAGAAGATGGAAGGTTATGGATAGATATGACTACCAGTGCAACCACAGCATGGACTATAAAAAGACTTGTCTATTCTAATCTCTATTATTTCCTCTACTTCTGTATTTACTGATCAATACCTGTGAATTTATTTCGCAGGATTATTAAGACAGTGTCTTACATGCTGTTTCTGATCCATGTGGAGACCTGTGGCTACTATGCCGTGTCTGTGTATGAAGGACTGGGCACAAATGATTGGGTCTACAGTGGCAAGGGCATTGCGTGAGTAGTTTAGTTTATTCTTCAAAGTCTAAATTGACACTTTTCTATAGTAATTAGCTTTAGCAATCAGTTTTAGAATTCGGCTTTAGCAATCAGTTTTAGAATTCGGCTTTAGCAATCAGTTTTAGAATTCAGCTTTAGCAGTTCAATCAGTTTTAGAATTCAGCTTTAGCAAAGCTTTAGAAATCAGTTTTAGAATTCAACTTTAGCAATCAGTTTTAGAATTCAGCATTAGCAGTTAGTTTTAGAATTCAGCTTTAGCAATCAGTTTTAAAATTCGGCTTTAGCAAACAGTTTTAGAATTCAGCTTTAGCGATCAGTTTTAGAATTCAACTTTAGCCATCAGTTTTAGAATTCAACTTTAGCAATCACTTTTAGAATTCAACATTAGCAATCATTTTCCAAATTGAGCTTTAGCAATCAGTTTTAGAACTCAACTTTAGCAATAAGTTTTAGAACTCAGCTTTAGCAATCAGTTTCCAAATTGAGCTTTAGCAATCAATTTTAGAATTCAGCTCTAGCAATCAGTTTTAGAACTCAGCTTTAGCAATCAGTTTTAGAACTCAGCTTTAGCAATCAGTTTTAGAATTCAGCTTTATCAATTAGTTTTAGAACTCAGCTTTAGCAATCAGTTTTAGAATTCAGTTTTAGCAATCAGTTTTAGAACTCAGCTTTAGCAATCAGTTCAAAAATTCATCTTTAGCAGTTAGTTTTAAAAATCAATTTTGCCATAATTTTGGGTATTCAAATTTAGTAATCAACTTTAACAATCAGTTTTAGTATTCAAATTTGCCATAATTTAAGTAATCAATTCCAACAATCAGCTTTAGTAATCAGTTATAATAATAATAAGCTATAGAAATCATTTTTAGAAATCAAAATTATTTGTCGGCTAATATATGCTTCTTACTATTTTTATTCTTGTAGGTATATACGCTGCTTCTACCTTGCCACGAAGACAGCAACTTCTATTGGCAACAACCCCACTCCAACCAACAAACTGGAATATATGTTTATGACATTCTACTGGCTGTCTGGTGTGTTTTTGTTTGCCTTACTGATTGGCCAGGTAATGCATTGAATTTGTCAACCATGTTGTTATTTATTTACCTAGCTGAGATTGGCTCAGTTTATGAAGGCTCAGGTGGCTGGGTCACACCTGGAGAATTGAGGATGAAAGAGTCCCTAAGGACATCCTGTGTGATGAAAAAAGATGGGTAGAAGATGTCAAGGCCTGCCTCTACTATGATATAAAGATGTGAGCAAGCGGGACATGAATGATATAGGTATTGAATTGGCCTCATGGGAACAGAATGCTATGAATCGTGTTGTCTAAAGGAGGCACATCAGAAAGGGAATGAGAATGAAGGAAGAAATTATTGCAGAAAGGATGAGAGCTGAGCATTAGAGAAGTACACTAAATACAAATGTTGACAGCAGGCAGCGGTGCAGGGGCAGGTCATGCTAGTCACACTCGCCATCACCATAGACTGCAAGTCCCATGCCTCCTCACAGCGCAGTATAACACTATTGTCTGGAAAGACGGAAAGGTGCCAATCAATGAATGGCTAAGATGGTCATTTATTGAAACTGTCTGTTTCAACTGAAATGTGATTTTTCCAAATGGTCATTGTCTGCTAAAGTCAAAGTGTCTGTCTCGCAACACCAAGATCAAAATATATAGTGTTGATAAGACCAGTCGTTTTATTTGGCTCTGAAACTTGGAGCACAGCTCAAAGAGATAAAGCCTTATTACAGGTTTTTCAAAAACAGAGTCTTATGACTAATCTTCGGACCAATCAAAGATGCAAACAGGGGTAAATGGATAATGAGAAGCAAAAATGAAATTCATAATCTGTCACTGGCAACATGAGAGCTAATAGACAGAAATGGTTGGAGCATATTGAAAGAATGTCAGATGACAGAGAGGTTAAAACTGTATACATGAGTGAGATAAGTGGTTGTAGACCATGAGGCAGACTAAGAAGAAAATAGAGAGATAATATCCAATCAGACCTGAAAACACTTGGTGTCACCAACTGGAAAGAGAGGGCCAACTAAAGAGATAAATGGAGGCAGATGATATCTGAAGCAATGAAACTCAATGGCTTGGAATGCTGAAGAAGAAGAAGTCATTGTCTGTAACTGTTTTTTTATTTTTATTAATTTATTGTCCTCTTGTGCATTATGTGTCACATAGGACTTGCAGTATATTTCTTTACTCATTTCTGCCCTTTGTGCAATCACTTCAATATCATGAATCCTGCATCTTTGGCTTCTGTTATAAACGTTCGCTTTATGGTTTCTTTGGGGCATCTTCATCTCCTCAGTCCCTCTTGTTCCCATTTTAGTGCTTGTTTAGTTATTCTCTTTTGCCTAGAGATTATGAATATAGTTTCTTCTTCTTCAATGATCTCTGGTCATGCACTTAATCCACTGTGGGACCATACATCGGGATGTCATCTCAAGGTATCCTGGGTTTTTCCCAAAGCTTAGTTGTCAGGTCTACCGGGTGTGGCCTCATGTTGCTTCACAGCTCCTCCAGGAGAGGACAGTCAGTCTTGCCAGACATGGTCTGGAGTCTGTTCAGCATGAAGACATTGACAGAGAGCAAACAGTTTTGACTTGGTCTCTTGAACATAGTTTCAGCATTCAGCCACAACAGATTAAATTCAGATGCAGTTGATCCGGCAGCAGATCTCATTGCAGTGATTTTGACAGTGAAGTCGAAAAATCAACAATTCAGAAAGCTACTGAACATAGAATTGTCTGGTAAAACTATAAACGGTCAACAAATGGTAGGGTTGGTTTGTGACTTACTGTAAAGTGCATGCAGCCTAATCTTCCTCATTTTGAAAAGTTTCTGCCTGTGTGGGTTCCCAGGTACCGTTTGGGAGTTGGGGGGGGGGGGGGGATATGACTCATTGTCCCCTGACAAGCATATTGTAAAAGTCAACTGATTAGGAATATTTCCTTCGAAGTTGGAGTGCATCTGTCTGAGAGGCAAGGGACCAACAGTCTGCATACAAATAAGTTTGATCTGTGAAACAGATGTGCAAACAAAACTGAAGTTCAGGAGTGGATGAACAACCATACATTTTGGCAGCAGTTTACAGCCAGTGAATGCCAAGAAGAAGAAGAAGGCGAAGACAAGTTCCAACTTTTATCTGTACCTCTTCTTGTGGCTGTAGATCCGAGACATTGTTGAGGCAGCAACACTGGTGAAAGATAACTACCGTAAGAAGATGGACTCGTGTCTCTGGTACATGCAGTCCATCAACCTGCCAAAGGAGATGAAGGACAGAGTTCGAGAATGGTTTCTCTACAACTGGGAACAGCAGAAGACTATTGGTATGTATGTGTAACTTCATCCATATCATTCACACCAGTTCCCCATGTGCTTCCAGTGCCTCTAGGGCATCCAGTGCCTCTTGGGCTTCCAGTGCTGCTGGGAGCTTCATTCAGAGTCAGCCTGCATCTGCCTGAGAGGCAAAGAACCAACACTCTGCATGCAAATAGGTCAGATATGTAAAATGGATGTGCACTTAATACTCTGGTTCTGGAACAAGACTAAAGTCTGGAGGTGGGTGAAGAATAACTAGAAATTTTAGCCGAAGTTTACAACCGGTGAAGAAGAAGGAAAAGAAAAAAAGAAGAAGAAAAAGAAAAAAAGAAGAAGAAAAAGAAAAAAAGAAGAAGAAAAAGAAAAAAAAGAAGAAGAAAAAGAAAAAAAGAAGAAGAAAAAGAAAAAAAGAAGAAGAAAAAGAAAAAAAGAAGAAGAAAAAGAAAAAAAAGAAGAAGAAAAAGAAAAAAAGAAGAAGAAAAAGAAAAAAAGAAGAAGGAAAAGAAAAAAAGAAGAAGAAAAAGAAAAAAAGAAGAAGGAAAAGAAAAAAAGAAGAAGAAAAAGAAAAAAAGAAGAAGGAAAAGAAAAAAAGAAGAAGAAAAAGAAGACAAAGACTGTCTGCCACCACAGGAGTTGGTCTGCAGCTGATCTCTCCAAAGTATCTCTCAGTGTAGGTTTCTTCCAGGTCAAGTCTGCATATGTCCTTAGAGCATAACTTTGGCCCTTCTCTCTGTGTTTTCATTTACACCAGTTGACACCAAAATGGGGCAGGTGTCTATAAAATGATCATTGTTGATAAGTCAATTAGATCTAAATTGGATACCAGGTAATACCATGATAAATAAAGGTATCTGGTTTGATGTTGACTGCATTGCCATCATCATCATGTAGCAGGTTATTCGCAGAACATAGCTCTCATCACAGCCTGTATGAAAGAAGCTCAGTTTCTCACCAACTGTTGTGCCTTGTGCACTATCCTACCTAATGTGTCTCTTATATCATGCTCCCATCTTTGTGCTCATCAGCCAATGATACCACATCTTCTGTAATTATTCTTACCAATCCACCGCAGTGCTCGACTGGGCCAAAATACTTCTGTTTCTGGGACAAGATGCTGTTTACCAGCCATTCTTCCTTGATGTTCAGATGTTTTAGGATGTCAGTATTTCTTTTCTTCCTAATGAGTGCCAACTGGACTAACAAAAAATGTGGGCCTAACACCTAATTCTAGATACACCAGTGGTGGGGAAAATGACCTTGTACTTTTTATTTTACGGAAACATATATTTTAAACATCATTTACACTAATTTGTCACTATACTACTTCATAAATTTGTCCAAAAAAAACACGCCCCATCCTTCCTCTTGCAATGATAAATTACACTAATTTGCCATTTGCCACTGGGTGTCTTTGGTTACATCATTTAAGGCATTTTATCAAAGCATATCCATTCCTAAATGGAATTATAACTATGGGTACATTCCCAGGGACATGAAAACATCTGTTTTTATCACACTACCCAAGAAATCCAAAGCTGTTGATTGTGAAGATTACAGAACTATTAGCCTAATGAGTCACGTAACTAAGTTACTCTTGAAGATAATACAAATAAGAATTTAAGATAAAATAGAGAAAGAAGTTTCTGAAGAGCAATTTGGATTCCATAAAAACAATGGTACTCGAGAGGCCATAATTTGTCTAAAGATGCTGACTGAAAAATATAAAGAAGTTCAGAAAAATATTTATGCATGTTTTATAGATTACAAAAAAGCTTTCGACAGAGTGCAACATGAACAACTAATTGCAGCTCTTCAAAACATAGGACTAGATGGAAAGGATATCAGAAACTTATACTGGGAGCAAGAAGCAACAGTAAGATATGACAACATCTGCTCACCCCAGATAGAGATCAAGAGAGGAGTAAGACAAGGATGTGTGCTGTCGCCTAGCCTTTTCAACTTATGTACAGAAACCATTTTTAAAGAAATTGTAGAATTACCAGGACTACACATCAATGGTAGAATAATAAACAATCTGAGATATACTGACGACACAGTGTTGCTAGCAGAGAGTGAGCAAGAGTTGCAAGACCTAGTGGAGCAAGTAAACAGAAGGAGTGCAGAATTTGGATTAGATATAAATTTGAAAAAGACAAAAACCATGATATTTAGCAAAGAAAATAATCAGCTAATAATGAATATCACAGTGAACGGGGTGAAATTGGAACAAGTTAAAAATTTCTTATATCTTGGACAAGTAATAACATGTGACGGCAGAAGTGAAACAGAAGTCAAGAAAAGAATAGGGATGGCCAAAAACATTTTCAACAACATGCAAAAGTTACTGACATCAAGAGAAATAAGCAATACATTAAAAATGAGAATTGTCAAATGTTATGTATTCTCAACCTTACTGTATGGCACAGAGACATGGACAATGAACAAACAACTGGAAAATCGTATCAATTCTTTGGAGATGTGGATATACAGAAGATTAGGTCGTATTTCATGGAAACAAAAGCTATCAAATACAGAGGTACTGAGGAAATTGGGAATGAAAAGAGAGTTGCTAGGTGAAATAAAAAAGAGACAAGTGAAATATTTTGGCCACATTAAAAGACATAACAGTATTGTAAAGATCATCCTAGAGGGAAGGGTTCAAGGTAGGCGAGCAAAAGGCAGACAGCGTTACAAGTGGGAGGATAACATCAAGAGATGAACGAACAGCAGTATAAGTGAATGTACATCAAGGGCAGGAGACAGGCCTTGTTGGAGATCCATTGCAGCCAACCTTCATTGTGGAGACGGCACCTGATTGATTGATTCCTAAATCCCTCACCTCTCCAGTCATTTAGACTAATTTGCTGTTATGTGATAATTTGCACAAATATATACAAATGTTTAGTCTTTCACATAATTTACTCCAATTTACAAACAACATGTCTTCTTTAATAAAATTTACTCCAATTTACAAACAACATGTCTTCTTTAATAAAATTTACTCCAATTTACAAACAACATATCTTCTTTAATAAAATTTACTCCAATTTACAAACAACATGTCTTCTTTAATAAAATTTACTCCAATTTACAAACAACATGTCTTCTTTAATAAAATTTACTCCAATTTACAAACAACATGTCTTCTTTAATAAAATGTACTCCAGCTTGCTCAAAGATATCTCCTTCCATGAGAGCTGCCGTGGTGTGGTGGCTAGATGCTCGCCTGAGGATCTGAATTTCATGGATTCAGGTCCGGACAGAGCTGGCGCTTTTTTTTTAGAAATGACCCAGCCTCAAATGGGTTCTAGGTAATGGTACTAGGTAATGGTACTAGGTATTGGTTCTAGGTAATGGTACTAGGTATTGGTACTAGGTAATGGTACTAGGTAATGGTACTAGGTAATGGTACTAGGTAATGGTACTAGGTAATGGTACTAGGTATAAGTACTAGGTAATGGTACTAGGTATAAGTACTAGGTAATGAGTACTAGGTAGTGGTACTAGGTAATGGTACTAGGTAATGGTACTAGGTAATGGTACTAGGTATTGGTACTAGGTAATGAGTACTAGGTATTGATACTAGGTAATGGTACTAGGTAATGGTACTAGGTAATGGTACTAGGTAATGGTACTAGGTAATGGTACTAGGTAATGGTACTAGGTAATGGTACTAGGTATTGGTTCTAGGTAATGGTACTAGGTATTGGTACTAGGTAATGGTACTAGGTAATGATACTAGGTAATGGTACTAGGTAATGGTACTAGGTAATGGTACTAGGTATAAGTACTAGGTAATGGTACTAGGTATAAGTACTAGGTAATGAGTACTAGGTAGTGGTACTAGGTAATGGTACTAGGTAATGGTACTAGGTAATGGTACTAGGTATTAGTACTAGGTAATGAGTACTAGGTATTGGTACTAGGTAATGGTACTAGGTAATGGTACTAGGTAATGGTACTAGGTAATGGTACTAGGTAATGGTACTAGGTAATGGTACTAGTTATTGGTACTAGATAATGGGTACTAAGTAACAGTACCAGGTAATGGTACTAGGTAATAGGTACCAGGTAATGGTACTATGTAATAGGTATCAGGTAATGGTACTAGGTATTAGGTACTAGAAAGTAACCACGGCCGGTGTAATGTTGACTGCATCACCCATCAAGTGCAGAGTGGTCTATTAAATATAGGTCTAACCCTGTATACCTATTAGGCCTGAGCACATGAAAAATGGTCTTTACTTATCTCCTTTCACATTAGTTTCACCAGTTTACCAAATTAAAGCTTCTTTCACATTAGTTTCACCAGTTTACCAAAACATATCTTCTTTCACATAATTTACACTAGTTTATCAAAACAGATAATCTTCCATAAACTTACACACTGCAAATCCTACAAGCCCTGAAAACAGTTAAATATTGAAACTGCTGTCGTCCATTTGAATCTTCTTTACAGATGAGCGATCTCTAGTTTCCTCATTGCCAAAGAAACTGCAGACTGACCTGGCCATCAACGTACACTTTAACACACTGTCCAAAGTTCAGCTCTTCCAAGATTGTGAGAGAAACTTGCTGTATGACCTCGTTCTGAAACTCAAACCCATTCTATACTTACCAGGAGATTTCATTTGTAAAAAGGTGAGGAAATTGTGTTCCATACTTGATTCATGATTATGGAAGGCCTTTGACTGTTCGTTGTTGTTTTGAAGACGTTTTTGTATTATATTGTATTATATTGCATTGTATTGTTATGATTTGTGGGTTAAGAACTGACATCATAATACTCCCATAAGCAAGCGCTCTGTCCTCATCTTCTGCAGCAAACGCAGTTTCAATTCTGATGGTACCAGTAACACTCTGACTGTATTTACATCTCGCCCCTCCAGTGAGTGTTGAGCATTGGCCAGATCCCCTGGTCCTTCCTCACTGTACCATTCTCATAAGACCACACTGTAATGTTCTGCCTATACCTCTGCACTGTTTACTTGCTCCCAAATGGCCCTCACAATCTCTAGCTCAGTGGTCTGTATTCTTTTTTTCAGCCCCCCCCCCCCCCAGTATATGGCAAGATCTCCCCCCCCCCCCACCACTTAATAAAATGTGATCAGAAAGAGGGGAAATCTCTTCTTAATCTCCAATTAAATGCACATGTTATTTTAACCCTTTGGAGACGAAGCTTTTTTGGAATTTCGGTGCCAAGAAGACGGAGCCTTTAGAAGGGGATTCTCATAGTTTATACCCAAAATTATAAAAAAAAAATAAAGTGTTTAATTAACATATACAAAACTATATATATTCGTGTAGGAAATTGAATGAACTAACGGAATATTTATGAATCAACATGAAACCTCAACATTTATTCAAAATAACTATTCTGATTTGCAAAATTTATGCAAGCAATTTTTATAAAACTTGGAAAGAAACATAACTAACCTGAAAAATGTGGGTGAATTTGTTTATGGATGAAGCTTGAATAAGTCCTAACACCTGTATTTTGGGAACTAAGGCCCTTGAAGACATGTCTGGCACATTGTTCTACTCCTTTTCCTGCCTCCAGCTATGTTTCAGTTGCTATGATGAAACAGTCCTTTTCGACATTTCGACATTTTTTGGGCACAAGTAACCCCAGAAAAAATCAATGTAAAATTACAGAACACATCAAACTTTCTTGAAAGCCATCAGTTAACATGTGCAAGAAATGAGAGAAGCAGTCTGATTGACTGGTACGAAAACCTGCCAGACAATATCAAGGCTTTCATTACACAGGGACAACCGATCGGCCCAGCCATCCTTCTGGCTACTTTGCATTGGGCCGATATTTCGGCCAAATCGTTTCCAAAGGGTTTATTAGATTTGTAGGTGCACAAACTTCTTTTGTAACAAAAAACTAAGAACATTTCTGCAGCTCCAAATAAGTATTCACTAATTCCATGGTTCACTTCCATGTATCAAGATAGGATTTATATAGCTTTTAAGAATTCTCTTTCTCGTCTCAATTGACAAAGAAAGATTGCCTAAAATATTCGTTTTGTAGAACGCTGCCTTTGCTTAAGCTATTTTACATTTAACTTCTTTATTACATCTTCTATCTAATAATATGTTATGCATATTGTGTATTTCCCCTAGATTTATTATACTTATTATAGTTTAGAAATATAGATACAATTAGTGCAAATTCCAGCTTTTGGAACTGTCACCCAACTGGTGGTGACAGTTTTTATTATTTGTTAAATGATATACACATGTAGTAATGTATGCAGAGAGTGAGCAAGGACAGACTGTAAGACAAGCTTGCGTGCCCATTTCTAAACCCTTTAAAAATAAAGTTCATTAGTTAGTTCATTTATATATTTTGGCCTCTTTAATATTTTTCTAAACAACTGGAAAAGCATCATCACCATCATCAACATCATGAACATCATTATCAAAATGATCATCATCAACATCATCACCACCATCAGCATCAACATCACCATCATCATTATTAACATCATAAACATCACCAGAATCATCATCAACATCACCATTATCATCATCATCATTAACATCAGCAACATCACCATGATCATCATCAACATCATCATTACCATCATCATCATCAACATCATCATCATTAACATCACCATCATCAACATCAACATCATCATCAACATCAACATCATCATCAACATCATCATCACCATAAAGATCAGCATCAGCATCATCATCACCATTATCACCATCAAATGCTTTACTTATTTATTTGAGTGATCCTGCTTAACTACATTTCAACTCTCCAACAACATGTATCACTTTGTGTGATAAAAATTGTGCACACTACAACACAAATCAATCAAGAATCTTCTCTCATGGCCTCTCTATCTCTATTTCCATAAATACTTTTCTCTTGTTACAGCATGCTGGTTTTTTTCTCTCATATTGTGACCAAAAACTGATAGCTGCTCATTTCTTGTTGTTTTTGGTTTGTTAATAAGTTAAACTCACACAGTCTGTGGCAGGTAGGGCTCAGTTGAAACAACTAGAGCAGAGTTAGTTAATGTTGTAAACTGAGGCATAGACAGAGTTAATATACCATGTCAGTTGAGATAACTTGTCTTCAACTGCCTCCAGGGTGAAGTGGGCCGTGAGATGTACATAGTAACACAAGGACAAGTCGAGGTTGTTGGCGGGGAAGATGGAGAGACAGTTCTGGCAACCTTGCATGAAGGAAGTGTCTTTGGAGAGATAAGGTAGGTATTGTTGTAGAGAGAAGTAGGCAGTATCTTTGGGGACTAGTAGTCAGGCAGTGTAGTTGAAAAGATACATACCAATAGTGGAAAATTTATAATTCAAAAAAGGTGCAGCGACTAAGAAAAGTTTGGGAAACACTGAAGTGAGGTATTATTTTCTACAGAGATAAGATGAGGCAGTAATTTTACAGGTATAAGGTAAGGTATTGTATTTACAGGTATAAGGTAAGGTATTGTTTTTACAGGTATAAGGTAAGGTATTGTTTTTACAGGTATAAGGTAAGGTATTGTATTTACAGGTATAAGGTAAGGTATTGTTTTTACAGGTATAAGGTAAGGTATTGTTTTTTACAGGTATAAGGTAAGGTATTGTATTTACAGGTATAAGATAAGGTATTGTTTTTACAGGTATAAGGTAAGGCATTGTTTTTACAGAGATAAAGTAAGGTAGGGTTTTTACAGAGATGAGCTGAGTTGAGTTGATTCAGGAACAGACATCTGAGCACTCGGGGCATTCCCATAAGTGCTCCATCCCCATCTTCAGCAGCCAGTGCAGAGTTCTGATACTAATGGTGCCAGTAGCATTCTGATTAAACATCGGTCTTGCCTTTCCTCTGAGCCTCGAGCATCTGCCAGAAACCCTTGCCACTTCCCGCTGCATCAATCTCACCAGACAGTAGTGATCCATTTGCTCCTCCGAACTGTACACGCTCTCCCACACGGCACTAACCACATCTGCCTTATCATGCTTCAGTATTCCACCCAGTTGTGCAGAGCCAGCCAGTCTGTCTGCATGTTGATTTCCCAACACACGAATTTCCTGGAGAAAAAATTTAGTCAATACTCCTCACCCGTGTCCTCCCCAGTGAAGCATGCCACTCTGCACAAAGCATGCCTATCCTGACCTTCCTCAGCATGCTTTCTGAGTCAGTTTCAATCATCATATGTGTTTTATCATGTTCTCTAACCAGTGGAAAGCTGCAGTGACCACCTCCACCTCCAATCTTAAGCTGAATGTTGTGGTATCGTATGCTAGGCTTTCCTGCACCAAACGTTGACCATTAACTTTTGCTAAGAAACCCCAAGCACTTCTTTTGCCTCTTGACATTGAACCATTTGTGTAAATAATCAAATCCTCTGAGCGAGCCTTATCTTGAAATAATTGCTGAATTTTCATCTCCGTGGCACATGCTTGCCAGTCTCTGCATTTCTGGCTCAGTGTGATTATGCCCCTACACAAGTCTGACTATTCAGGTGGCACTTTGACCCACTCCTTTCCTCGCTTAATGTTTTCAAGGATGCAAACCTGTCTGATTGTGTCTTCTGCCTGGGCCATCAATGACTTCCCTCTTATAAGCCGCTGACCCCCTAACTGCCCCCAGAGCTTCATGCAAAGGGTGATCTGTGTCTGCAGCAACCTTGAGTAGCCAGTGTTGTTGAAGAGAAGGTAGTAAGATAGTAAGATTTTAAGACTGTTGTTGAAGAGATAAGGTAGCCAGTGTTGTTGAAGAGATAAGGTAGTCAGTAAGACAGTAAGATTGTAAGACAATGTTGTTGAAGAGATAAGGTAGTCAGTAAGACAGTAAGATTGTAAGACAGTGTTGTTGAAGAGATAAGGTAGTCAGTAAGACAGTAAGATTGTAAGACAGTGTTGTTGAAGAGATAAGGTAGTCAGTAAGCCAGAAAGATTGTAAGACAGTGTTGTTGAAGAGATAAGGTAGCCAGTGTTGCTGAAAGAGATAAGGTAGTCATTATTGTTGAAGAGATAAGGTAGCCACTGTTGCTGAAGAGATACAGTAGCCAGGGTAGTTGAAGTGATAAGATAGCCAGTGTTGCTGAAGAGATAAGATAGCCAATGTTGAAGAAATAAGGAATTTAATATTGCTGAAAGAAATAAGGTAGCCATTATTGTTTAAGAGATAAGGTACCCAGCGTTGTTGGAGAGCTAAGGTAGCCATTGGTGTAAGAGATAAGGTAGCCAGTGTTGGTGAGGAGATAAACAGTCAGTGTTGTTGAAGAGATAAACAGGCAGTGTTGTTGAAGAGATAAACAGGCAGTGTTGTTGAAGAGATAAACAGGCAGTGTTGTTGAAGAGATTGAACTTGTAATAGACCAACATTAAGACCCAATGTTTACAGAATAAAATAACAATTTTTGTAAATAGAGTTAGAGGAAGAAGAGCCATGATGACACACTTGACCACATAAACATTTACCAGGAATTGAACCTTTTACCTTTAATCTTGGTGTAAGAACGGCTGGGCTTTGACTCAGTGAAAGTGAAACTCAGCAACAGATCTAAAAAGGTTTATCATACACCTGAACTAACAATTATGCAGTATGGACAGAATTCATATCCAACCAATGAAACAGCACCATAGATTACAGAAATGTATATTGACCAAGCAAACACATAGGCGAATAAACAAACAAATCAGACCTTGATGCTGTGTCATGTGTACAAGAAACATTGGAGGTGACAGGTTCCTGTCTTAGTAAAGTAACTACAATTTTCTCTTGGTTGTTCTCTTATCTCTACAGCTTTCTGTAGGTGCCAATCATCATCATCATTATCATCATGTAGCAGGTCCTTTGCAGAACCTCGCTCTCCTCACAGTCTGCCTGAAAGAAACTCGGTCTCTCGCCAGTTCTTCAGCCTCATGTACTTTCATACTCATATCCTGTGCCCATCTTGGTGTCAGTCTGCCTCTGCCCCTCCTTCCTGGTACCATGCCTTCTGCTATAATTGTTTCCAGTCCGTCATGGCGCTTAATGTGAAGGTGCCAATCAGTACTTGTTAATTTGGCTACATACTTCTTCTATGGTCTTTAGAGTTCTGCAGCTCTAAATTTAGTGTTGAGACATGAAGGTAACGGCTGTAATTGGACCTCAGACTTTTCATTGCCAAAGAAACCTGCATTGTTTACCTATTTATCATTGCAGTTTAGTAAATTATAATTGAATACATTGTCTTGCTTGGTCTCTTGTCTTATTTGCATATTGGATCTAAAGCCTGTCGAGTGGAGATTTAGTATTCTTCTGAGACATTTGTCTCTCATTTTTTTAAATCTAGAGCTACCGTTGATTTCTAACTCTCACATCCATAAATTAGCAGCGGAATCACACAAGAGTTGAAGATCTTCAGTTTTGTGTGATTGCTGAGTGTCTTTGACTTTAAGATATTTGACTGTATATATTTATTAAAATCTCTTGTCTAACTTTGTCTGTCTGGTAGTTTGCTGGCCATGTCTGGCCGTGGGAACAGACGTACAGCAGACGTCAGAAGTAAAGGCTATACAAATGTCTTCACTTTGTCCAAGCACGACTTTGAGATGGCCATGACAGAGTACCCAGAGGCACAGGCTTTGCTGAGAAGGAGAGCAAAGTAAGTTCTGTGAGACTGTCATGTTTGAACAAAGAAGACACAAATAAATGATTGCACAGTTTATTGAGTGGGCATGTTTCTTACTTACTCACTTTGATACATCAGATGTATTAACTCTTTGACTCCCAGGGGGTTTAGCATCACAGGCCCATGGGCTAGTAAAGAGAGTCATAAAATCCGCGCATCATGCGTTCATTGGGCTTCTATGTAGGAACCTATAAACGTATGATGCGTTCCCTGGGACTCAAAGAAGTTAATGCAGAATAGCTCAAGCAAAGGCAATATTTTACAAAATAAAGAATATTTTATGCAATTTTTCTTTGTCAGCTGAGATGAGAAAGAGAATTCTTAAAAGCTAAATAAATCCTATATTAATATAGGAATCATGGACAGTTAGCGTCCCTTGCCTCCTCATAGCACAATATAACACTATTCTCTGGAAAGAGGGAAAGGTGACAGTGAAGATAGGAATAGTCCTGTTTTCGTTCAGACAGTCTCATTTTTCAGCTAGGACCAGACTGCACATATTTTTAGATGTTTCTAGATATTTTTTGGCACATGTTTTTAGGCATCATTTTTCAACACTACTGTAATAGGCGCTTTGTGGTAAATAACTGCCCCTTTCTAGACACTTTCTGAATGTTGAATTAGGAAGGGAAATCACAGCACCTGGGACATTCCCAAAAGCGCTCTGACCCCATCTTCAGCAAGAAGGGCAGAGTTCCAAATCTGACGGTACCATAACAGTCTGATTGTATATCCATCTTGCCTTTCCATTGTTGAGTGTCGGCCAGATCCCGTTATCACTTCCCCTGCAGCGCCAGTCCCTCAGACCATTTGTGCCGCTGCACAGTTTACTAGCTCCCTAAGGACCCTTGCAACAGCTAGCTTGTCATGCATCATTTCACCATCAAGTGGTGCAGAACCAGCTAGTTCATCTGTCTATTTATTTCCCAATACACCAGAATAACCATGGAGGCAATATCCAAAGAGTGCTAACTTTGTGATGATATCCCAGCCCCCCCCCCCCCCCCCCCTTTTTTTTTTTCCAGTACATTTGTGTTTGTTTTAAGAATTGTTTGCCCTTATTGTGTCTTTTGATGAAAGATTTATAATGCTGTCTAACACAGAAAACTGCTGAAAGCCAATGAAAAGATGGAGAAAAAGAAGAAATTGGAAGCCGAAGAAATTATCAAAACACCCCCAGAAACTCCAAAACTGCTGCAGACTGTGATTCAAATCATGGATCCAGATTCCAATTTTGTGAAACACATGAATCCAAGTTTGAGACGTAGTCATCGCAGCTTGAGAGCTCCTTCAAGGTGAGTTTGTCATCATCGTCATCAACTTTTTTTTCCAAGATAAGTCATAGAATAATATTGGTCACTAGACATTCACAACAGATAAGAAAAGATAATTATTAAACATGGAAATTAGATGTTTGAGAAGGGCTGCTGAAGTGACCAGAATAGATAAAATCAGGAATGAGGTTACAAGAGAAAAAGTCAACACAGAACCAGTAGTAAGTTACACATGAAGAGGTCAAATCAAATGGTTTTGCACATAGAGAAAATACCTCCTCCATACCATATAAGGCATATCCAAAAAAAAAGAGAAGGATGTAGATCATAAGGTAAATGAAGAACAATACAGAAAGATAATATCAGAGAAACTACAACAGTTTGAGGTGTCTGTGATCAGAACAGCAAGATGCAAAACATTATATTAGCCTCAATACCTGAAGCAGTAAAAGAGGAAGTGGAGAAGAAGAAGAAGAAGAAGAAGAAGAAGAAGAAGAAGAAGAAGAAGAAGAAGAAGAAGAAGAAGAAGAAGAAGAAGAAGAAGAAGAAGAAGAAGAAGTAGAAGAAGAAGAAGAAGAAGTAGAAGAAGAAGAAGAAAAAGAAGAAAAAGTAGTAGAAAAAGAATAATAAGAAGAAGATGCATACTCGTCGATTAGGGTTAGGTGCAGGAATGCTGACAGGTCAAGGAAATTCATGGCAAAGGTGAAGTCATGAAGCACGAATACCACTTGCAGACAGGGCACGGTGATGCCCCTGAACAGACAACAATAACACACAACAGAACTGATGACGCAATAAACGATCAATACACTGAAAAGAACCAACACATGACACACCTAGAATGTAGCAGTTTCAGTTTGTAGGGTTACTATTAAATGAGCACAGACTAACACTGATCTTAACCCTTCTTTCTTATTTTTCTTTTCTGTACTCCTGGAATGTCTTACGGAGTCAGGGCAGTAAGAGATTTCAGGAACGGGCCCTTTTGTTTGCTTCATACATAGTACCTTTTCAGTGTCTCCGATATTTTTGCAGTCCATATCTGCATGGTCAACCTCTGGATCTATTACAGCTATATCTGTAAAACACTGCTCTCTGTGGTGCCCTTTCTGATGCCAGTCTTGTTACATGACCAAACCATTTGATTTGTTGACCCTAACCCCCCCCCCCCCCCACCCCCCTTTTCCCCCAATCCTCCTCTCGTGCTATAGGACCTTCAGAGAACCATCTAGGAATTCCCTACCAAATCTCGCATCTGACAACGTGGGCTGAAAAAGCTGAAAAGAACCCCTTTTTTTTGGTAGAAAAATCTAAGCCTCAGGGATAAAGGTCACAAGTTCATTTCATGGGTCATCCCATACATGTGCTTGTTTGTGTTTTTAGGCTCTGGGAAATGCATTCTATTTAATGCTTCATCCTGTTCATGTTTATGCAGTACTCCCTTTATCTATCTTTAATATTTCTAGAGACAAAAAAATTTCAAAATGTATGAGAGAAAAAATTTCAATATTCAGGATAAATAAATCTTTAAAAAATTCATTAGCGACCTATGTAAAATGTTTGTTTGTTTTAAGGATTTTTCTGGAAATTGAATGGTGTCATGGCATGGTTTAAACCAAAAAAAATTTTTTAAAGTGTTCCTGGGGTGAGAGTGTTAATATGATATACCATAAAGAGAAATGTCCCTTTTTTAGATCACATAATCCAAGTCCAGTAAGGTATACTACAAAAAAAAATATTACTTTTTCAGATCACAGTCAGGAACCAGTAAGGTATACCATAAAGAGGAGCATTAATTTTTATATTAAACAGTTATAGATAAGTATAGTATGCCACAAAGTCGAACATTACCATAGACTAGTATGGTATACCATAAAGTCATATATTAATTTTTCAAATTACAATCATAGACCAGTATGGTATACCATAAAGTCGAATATTAATTTTTCATATAACAGCCATAGACCAATATGGTATACCATATAGTCAAATATTAATTTTTCATTTTACAGCCATAGACCAGTATGGTATACCATAAAGTCAGATATAAATTTTTCTTATAACAGCCATAGACCAGTATGGTATACGATAAAGTCAAATATTAATTTTTCATTTTACAGCCATAGACCAGTGTGGTATACCATAAAGTCAGATATAAATTTTTCTTATAACAGCCATAGACCAGTATGGTATACCATAAAGTCACATATAAATGTTTCATATCGCTACCATAGACCAGTATAGTATACAATCATCATCATCATCATGTTCTCATTATGCCTAGTGGCACATGAGGCTTCAGAGAGGACTTTCCATGCTTTCCTGTCCTGTGCAATCTTCAATGCAGTTTTCCATTTCAAAGATGCCACACTCAGGTCACTTTTCATCGTTCGTCTCCATGTTGTTTTTGGGCGCCCCTTTCTTCTCTTTCCCTCTGGTATCCATGTCAGAGCTGTTTTGGCAGGTATATCAGAAGTCATTCTCATAACGTGGCCAAGCCATTTCCATCTTCTCTTGGTTATCATACTGTCTATAGTTTCTTGGTTTGTGACTTGAAGTAGTTTAGTGTTTGAGATTGTATCTGGCCAGAAAATTTTGATAATTCTAGACGTGTGGTGGAAGGTGGACAGCTTGTGTGCATCCTTTTTGGTCATTCTCCAGCATTCTGCTCCATAAAGAAGAACTGGCAAAATGATGCTCTTGTAGAGTCCGAGTTTTGTTCCTCTGCAGTAACTGTTGGATTTCCAGATTTGCCTCATCCTTCCAAAAGCAGCTCTAGCTTTGTTCAGACGTGACAGTATGTCTTCCTCTGTCCTTTCCAGTAGGGACACCACACTGCCTAGATATGTGAAATGTTCTACATTTTCAAGTAATTGGTTACTTATGGTCACTAGTTGTTGGTTTGGACTGTTTGTCATGATCTTAGTTTTCTTTGTATTTATTCTCAGTCCCACCATTTCTGCTGTGCTGTGTAGTCTGTTACTTTTCTCTTGTATATGTTCATGTTTATGTGATAGGAGTGCTATATCATCTGCAAAATCAAGGTCCTCAAGCATAGTGAATGGAGTCCATCATATGCCTTTCAATGTCTTGTCTACTGTGTTTTTTAGTATCCAATCAATCACAAGGTTGAAGAGTAGAGATGACACGACACATCCCTGTCTTACCTCTGTCTTTACTGGGAAAGATGTATTGTAAATTTTTATACTGCAGGAAAGGCTTTATAGAAGAGAGCAATTATGTTGACTATTTTTTCTGGAATTCCATAATGTCGTATAATTTTCCAGAGACTGTCTCTATGACGCTGTCAAAAGCTTTCTCAAAGTCCACAAAATTAATATATATACTTCTCTGCCATTCATTGCAGTGTTCTAAAATGTTACGTAGAGTGAAGATGTGCTCAGTTGTTTCTCTGCCATTTCTGAATCCTGCTTGTTCCACTTGTAGGCATTTATCTACTCCTTTTTCAAGCCACATTATGATGATTTTACAAAAAAATTTTGCTTGGTACTGAGAGTAGAGTAATTCTCCTCCAATTATTGCAGTCTGTTAAATCTCCTTTTTTTGGGGATTTGGACTATTATTCCTTCAGTCCAGTCATTAGGCATCACTTCATTTTCCCAAATATCCTTGAACAATGGTTCTAGAATGCTAGCAGTTGTGTTGAGATCTACTTTGAGAAGTTCTGCTGGCAGTTTGTCTTTGCCTGGTGCTTTGTTGTTCTTTAAAGTGTGGATGGCTTTAAGGATTTCTTGTTTGCTTGTTGGTTCAGGAATAATGACAATGTCCTGAAAGGCTGATTGAATATCTGGGGGATGTTCATGATCAGGTCTGTTCAAGAGGTCGGAGAAGTGTTTAGTCCACTGCCTGTCTTGTTTTTGTTCTGTGGTAAGCAGTTTGCCTTGGTTATCTCATAGTTTACAATAAAGTCTAATATTAATTTTGTAATGTCAAACAGTTATAGATAAGTACGGTATGCCACAAAGTCAACATTATTTTTTTTCTTCAGATCACATAGTCATAGACTGAGTGCCTCTGCCTCAAATATTCACCACTTGACTCCACCCCGCAGTCACAGTTTTAGACTGCCCAGTCAGCCTTCAAACAACCCATCAATGACCCAGGATCCACCTGGACAGCAGCCAAAAGACAGTTTTGACACAGATGATGATAATGATGATGATGTGTTTGATGACAGCTCTGATGATGTAAGTATAGTTATATTGATGATGTAAGTATAGTGATATTGATGATGTAAGTATAGTGATATTGATGATGTAAGTATAGTGATATTGATGATGTAAGTATAGTTATATTGATGATGTAAGTATAGTTATATTGATGATGTAAGTATAGTTATTTGATGATGTAAGTATAGTTATATTGATGATGTAAGTATAGTGATATTGATGATGTAAGTATAGTTATATTGATGATGTAAGTATAGTTATATTGATGGTGTAAGTTTAGTTATATTGATGATGTAAGTATAGTTATATTGTTATTGCCAAAAATATCTTTTCAGTGTGGCTCAAGAAACTAAATGAAAAGGGTACTAGAGCAGAAAATAACTACGTGTGAAATTTGCTGTCTCCACAAGGGTCACTAACAAACCAAGAAGAGACAGGATTACGAAACCAGCTTTAGAGAGGAAGTTGGACTAAAACTGTGTCTGGATTATATTGCCACACAAAGAATGAAATAGTTCAGCAATCTAGTGAGAATGCAGCCAGGCCAGACTGTATATGAGACTTTTTACAGCAGAACATCTGGGAGGAGGGTGAGAGGAAGACCAAGAAAGATATGGATAAATGGTGTGGCCAAAACCTGAAAAAAAAAAAAAAAAAATACATCACTCAAGCCACCCAAGAAGTGCAAGACAAATACAGATAACCGTGATGCTGGCCTACAACCTGGTATCAGTTTTATTTGTTGTGTTGAATTGATTCAAGAATCGACATCACAGCATTCTGGACATTTTCATATATGCTCTGTCCACATCTTTAGCAGCCAACAAAGAGTTCCAGTTCTGACATTACTAGTCAGTACAAGTCTGTCTTGCATTTGCTCTGAGTGTAGAATGTCAGCCCGGTCCTTTGGTCAGTCTCCACCACATCATTCTCTCCAAACCGTATCTTATTGCACTTCTGCACTGTTCATTCAGTAACAGAAGAACCTGATCAACCATTCCAGCTTGTCTTGCATCAAGACACTACGGCACTGGCTAATCTATCTAACTGTTCATTTCCCAACACACTTGCATATTACAGCGCCTGCCAGTCTATCTACCTGTTCATTTCATAAACACTTGCATGGTGCACCACCAGCTAATCTATCTGCCTGTACATGTCCTAACACACTTGCATAGTACAGAACCAGCGAATCCATCTACCTGTTCGTGTCCTTACACACTTGCATTGAGTGGCACCAGCTAATCTTTTGGCCTGTTCATTTTCTAACATACTTGCATACCCCAGAAGAAATATCCAAAGGATTCTAACTTCAGGGACCTATGGGACGATACTTGCCAGCGTCACATATAAGCGATGCTTGTATATTCCTTTACAGCACTTTATTTTCCATATAGTTGTTAGCATGCCAAGTTGGCTGAACACTTGCTGTTTTTTTTTTTTGGAAAAAATTGTCGCACAAAGATTGACCACCTACTTGGAACTACATGATAAGTTCCCATCAACACTTGGAGGGTACAGATTGAAGAAAGAGACATGGTCCAATGCTGCTGTTTTCGCCTACGATGTGTACGAGGGATTTCAGATTAAAGAAGAGACATGTGCGGCAGTGTTGGACTTAGAAGATGCCTACAATAAAGTACCTTATGATTATTTAATGCAATTACTGCTTAAACTAGAAGTCAATCCTATTCTGATCCGCTGGATTGCTGCGGTCCTGTTCCAGAGAAAGATTGTACTAAGATGTGGTAGCTGGTCCTCAGAACCGCAAACGATATGTCCAGGCTTGCCACAGGGATCACCGCTATCACCAGTCTTATTCAATGTTTATACGGTGATGATCACTGAGCAGCAGTTGAATGGAAAGGGAAGGACTTTGTCATTTGCTGATGACATTTTGATTTATCGACGAGGGCGTGATAGACAGGAGATCGCCAGCACAATGCACAAAGAACTCGATCGAATTGCCGCCTGGTGTGATGGTTCCAATGCCTATGTCAATCCCTCGAAGGCATCAGTGTCATGGTTCTCTTTGAACAATCACATTGTCAATTCGGACTTACCAGAAGTGAAAATGCGTGATAATGTATTGATCAGAACCAACGTTATGACGTTTCTCGGGGTGAGGTTCGATCGCAGCTTGTCATTCAGGGAACACGTTGACCATGCAATAACAAAAGCACGCAAAGGTCTATCTGCAATGAGGATTATGGCTGCTTCCAATATCGAGCAAAGACTGCTGGTGCTTCTATTCTATGGTCTGGTCCTTTCCCCCATTGAATACGCTCTGGCCATCCTCACTGTCAGTGCTACCCAGATTGAACGACTCGAGAAGGTGCAAAATGAAGCCATGCGTATTATTTTGGGATGTACAAGAGACACATCTTGTGGAGCAATGAGGTATCTACTTGACTTTCCAACAATGAACCAAAGGATCAGGATGTGGAGGGCTCGGGCATACCTCAAAATATGTGCTGATAAGAAACACCCACTGCATCAAGCGCTTTTCAGTGAAAAGGGCGACAGACTGAAGAGGGGAAAATCGTGGCTAGGTCGGGCAGAAGATGTTATTAGGCAAATATGCAGCCTAACCGACATCATACCTGGTGCAGAATGGATACCTGTGCCTCAGGCGTTTATTTGTACATTTTCCTGTATTGTCACACTCAACAGGCGATGTAGAGAAGATAATCCTGTTGCTGTTAATGCAGAGGTCAACGCTCTCATCGGTGAAAATTCAGACGAAGCAGATGCACTAATCTATACAGACGGATCAGTTATACGCCAAAGAAGAAGCGCATGGGCATTTACAGCACGCTCAGCGGGCAGAACAGTCAAAGAAGCCAACGGCGCCTTCTCCATGACAACCAGCAGCATGACGATGGAGGTGATCGCAGTGACGCAAGCGTTTGCCTGGCTTGAAACACAAAAATACACCCGCATATGTATACTCAGTGATTCAATGAGTATGATCCGGAGGGTTCAGGCAGGTTCAGTGCGAAGACAATGGCTTGAATCAATTCAGAAGTCCACTGTGCGAGTAGTCACCTTTATTTTTGTTCCGGGACACGCAGGCGTCGATGGAAATGAAAGAGCTGACAGGTTGGCTGGATCCGCTATCACTACCGACGGTCGGCCTATGGATCATGCTGATATTATCAATGCCCTCAGAGAAATGGGAAGGATAGAGGACTTTGGTGGCAGTGAATCCACATCACTCGCCAGAATGGCAGACTTGGGAATTAAGATCGGCACAGCAAAAAACGAGACACACACCGGACACGTCAGAAGACTTGTTAATCAACATAGAACTGGTACTATTAGCCATCGGACGTTGGGATTCATACTGAGGGGAGGATCTGAGCACCTATGGACATGTCCGGAGTGCAATGATGATAACCCAACTAACTAACTAACTAACTAACTTGCTGTTTAACTGTATTATCTTTACAGGTATCACTGTCAGAAGTGCTTCACAATGCCTTAGTTAACAGCAGTTTTGATGACTCTGGCACTGATGACGATGATGGTGGTGATGAGGAGTTGCTGATTGAGCGGTATGGAACACATTTCAAGCAAGGGAAGCCACCGCGGAGTCGGCAGTCACCTCAGAGACTAACTGGAAGCTCTAATGACTGTGAGAAAGAAGACATAAAAAGCTCTACAGTGATTGAGCAAGATGGAGACAATGGAAATAGAGAAGCAGAGAAGGAATTACTGAATAATGGAGGTGGTCGTGATCTGGTACAAGGAGATGGTGGCTTACAAATGGCCACAAGGTTGCCTTCAGGTATGTTTGTGTATATGTGTATGTGTGTAAGTTTGTGGATGTCTAATTTTGTGTATGTGTAAAAAACTAATTTGTGATAGGCACAGTGTTGAATGTTGAATTAAGAATCGATATCACAAACCTCAGGATATTCGATAAGTGCTCTATCCCTATCTTCAGCAGCAAGCACCGAGTTCCAATTCTGATGGAACCAGTAACAGTGTGATTGTACATTTTACCCTGGGATCTACAGCAGATAAACACTAAGAAGAAGATAAGGAATAATAATAAAAAAAAGAAATCCACAGGGGAGCAGGCACAGCAGGGGTCCACTGATCATTAGTAAAAATATCCCTCGTCGATGATTGTTTTTGGCTCAATACTTCCTAGACAGTCTCAGAAGGTGGGCCGACCTGGGTCATGACTCCAGGCCTCGATCTTCCCCTGCTGCACTTAATCGGACGTTTGGACAGGGACAAGATGAAATGGTAACTTTGCAACAAGTATCGCGAGATTTGATATTATATATATATTGCCGCTGCGGTAGCAAATTAAGCCGACTACCTTCGTGACCAGATCGACAAGCTTATGGTTGGTTCATCGGACAGGTTATAAAATTGCAATTGCCAGAGAGATACCTGCAGATATTTAACGGACAATTTAGCTTTTAGGGATGAAAAGCTCTTTTCCGCTAGGGGCCCGGACCTGTCTACCAAGGCCCATCCCCACGTTTCGTTGCGTTCAAAGCCAGCTTGAAGCCCTTTCAGCCGTTTCGCCCAGTTGTTTAAGTGACCGTAAAATAATTTAACAGATTCACGACCTTGTTCAAGCTTCTCTCTAATACTGATATGTGTGACCCTGTCTCTTGTGGTTTTGATGGTGTTTGGAGACAGCACATTTTGCAGGTTGTTATTTTCTGTCCCTATGATAGTTGTTTTTGTAACTCATTATAGTTAAATTATCATCATCATCATGTAGCAGGTACTTTGCAGAACATCCCTATCATCAGGGTCTGCCTGACAGTAACTCGTTCTCTCACCAGCTCTCCCACCTCATGCACTTTCATATTCAAGGAGTCACTCATATCCTGTGCCCATCTTCGTGCTGGCTGGCTCCTGCCCCTCCTTCCTGGTACCATGCCTTTTGCTATTAATTTTTCTAATCCGCTATGGCACTTGATATTATCAAAATATTTTAGCTTCCAAAACAAGATGCTTTTTATTAGCCAATCTTCTTTGATGTTCAAATC